AAAGATAATGACGTGAAATTATCTTTTCACAGCATTAATAAATTGCGAAGCATCATCAAAGTACATAAAGATAAATTACCACATTATCTATAAAAGAATGTGGTTTACAAAATCTCATGTAATAACTGCGATGCATGCTACGTAGGTCAGACAAAGAGGTGTTTAAAGACTAGAATTACGGAACACAAGAACGATATTAAGAGAAATTCTAATTCGCATTCAGTTGTAACTGATCGTAGACTAACCCACAATCACGATTTTAATTGGACGAATGTAGAAATTCTGGACGTAGAAAGAAATTTTAATAAGCGATTGATATCAGAAATGATTAATATCAAACGCCAACGAAATAATATTAATTTGCAAACGGATACTGAGTATTTAGATTGTGCCTATGAGATATGACCATGATTTCAAAAAAACATCGTTTAGAATAGTTAAAAAACACGAAAACAAAATTGTTCCCTTTAGACACTGGTAACAAGGAATGACACATTAGAGGACACTATTCGCTTGGACTTCGACGCGCACAGTCGCTATGACAGTTTTATCTTTTTCTTTTCTCTTTTTTTTTTAAATTATAACTAAGTTTTACATTTTTACTTTTTAACTATTCTTGACACATTAATTATTCTTGACACAGTGCACATGTTCCATTATTTATCAATTGTATCATCACCAAGAACTAAAAAGTGTGTTTTAATACGTTTGAGGTGAGTGAACCTTTGGCATAATCCTTGAAATCAAAATTCATTTTTTACATTGTCTTTAATGGTTTGACACACAGCTCAAACATGCAACCCCTTAACTGCATTGAAAGCTGTGGAAGGTACTTCAAACTACTTCCTCATCTAATAGACGTCGATGAACACACGCAGAAATTATGTTAGGATACTAGGAAGCGAAATCATATTGTAAATTTATTGTTATACGTCACTGAAGATGGCTAAAAAATAGCCGAAACGTTTGACATAGAATAAAGTAAATTTCTTAGAAATAAATTAATGCGTACCAATAACCACGCTGATTCCCATACTCTCTGCCTACTATCTGCCTTACTCATACCTACTTAGTTTCAATTTGGGGAATCTTGTTAGGTTTTTATTGTTTGTAAGATACATAAGATTTTTTTCATCTCCATAACTTCGGTTTTTCATGATTTTTGCAATTTTTTTCGATTTTTCGCTGATTTTTCAAATTTTGATGGCTCAACGGGCTAATTAACCTTCTGATTCAAATTCAGCGGATCGAAATACATAAAAATCATACTTGATCCGGGTCAACAAAAATTTTTTCATCGCTGTAATGCAGTTTTTTATATTTTTGGGGGTTTTTTGCATTTTACTAAAATC